GGGCGACGAGCCACGTTGTACCCGTAGTCCTGATGGAATTTCGGTCTGTAATTTGGACCAGTTATGTATTCGATAGTGGCGATCACGCTCATCTTATTATCTTTACAAATTTTCTGCGTATTAGACTCAAAAAAGTCACCTGGGCTACGACGCGCAAGGTCGTGCGTTCGGATCCTGCGCGAACTTAGCCTTTTTGCTTTTTGTTAGTTCCGCAACAAAACAAATTTCTGGGCTCTCGGTGTGCGAGGTTAGGCCTGACCCTCGCTCTAGCGCCGCAGGCCAAAGAAAAGGCGCCTGGCTCTGGCTCTCGCGCCGCAGGCCAGATCCTGGAGAAAAACCAGTAACTAGCACCGCAGGCTCAAAGATTCTAGCACAATGCTGACTCTGGCGCCGCAGGCCAAAAAGTGGCCCCTTGACTCAGGTTCTAGCGCCGCAGACAAAAAAAACAGAAGGTATTCGAATTCATGGCTCCTGGACGGGGTCCAGTGGAAAAGGGCCGCGAAGCGGTCTTTTTCCATCGGTTAGACGATAATCGCCTAGCGTGACATATGGTGTTCGACGAGGTAATGGGGAATATGCCGCGGCAGTGTAGTTTCATTGTTCAAGAAAGGCCTTAGAACAACTCTTGAGGCGTTCTAATAGTATTTTGCACAGAAAACAGGTTCAAATCACGAAAATCAGCGGCCACGCCAAAATCTACGAGATAACCGTTATTCAGCACGCCAGGGTTGGAAATTTGCTTCGATTAGCTCTTACATTCCTTCATTTATTTCATACGCAGCGAAAGGCAATGAAAAAAAACCATGTTTGTAAACCTTTTATATTTTTTTCACCAAAGTTGCGCAAAATTCGTTTTGTGGGAGTTGCTCAAAATTTGCATGTTGCGCAAAATTCATGGTCCCACTTTTTCAGTCACCATGGCCGCACCACGAGCGGTATGCGGAAAGATTGACGGGCCCGTCGGAAGCGTTGCACCTTCGATGGTCTACACCCGCTACAGTGTGTCCACAAAAAATTGATTCCCACCACGGTCTCTTGTAACTTTGAATAGAAATATAATTCATGAAATTCCCAGCCAAAATGCTGAAACACGGCAAGAATGAGTGGACGACAGTTTGTAGTTTGTATTCCAGTTTAACCATTCCCATCAAAATTCAGACTGAAATTCCAAAAAGCAAAAAGTATGTTGCGGGCGGGGGTCGAACTCGGGTCGTCTGCGCGACAGTTTGTAGTTTGTATCCCAGTTTAACCATTCCCATCAAAATTCAGACTGAAATTCCAAAAAGCAAAAAGTATGTTGCGGGCGGGGGTCGAACTCGGGTCGTCTGCGCGACAGTTTGTAGTTTGTATCCCAGTTTAACCATTCCCATCACTATCCAAGCCGAATGTCCAAAAAGCAAAAAGTATGTCGCGGGCGGGGGTCGAACTCGCGTCGTCTGCGCGACAGTTTGTAGTTTGTATCCCAGTTTAACCATTCCCATCAAAATTCAGACTGAAATTCGAAAAAGCAAAAAGTATGTTGCGGGCGGGGGTCGAACTCGGGTCGTCTGCGCGACAGTTTGTAGTTTGTATCCCAGTTTAACCATTCCCATCACTATCCCAGCCGAATGTCCAAAAAGCAAAAAAGTATGTCGCGGGCGGGGTCGAACTCGGGTCGTCTGCGCGACAGTTTGTAGTTTGTATTCCAGTTTAACCATTCCCATCACTATCCAAGCCCCAATTCCAAAAAGCAAAAAGTATGTCGCGGGCGGGGTCGAACTCGGGTCGTCTGCGCGACAGTTTGTAGTTTGTATCCCAGTTTAACCATTCCCATCGTATCCAAGCCGAATGTCCAAAAAGCAAAAGTATGTCGCGGGCGGGGTCGAACTCGGGTCGTCTGGTCGATAGTTTGTAGTTTGTATCCCAGTTTAACCATTCCCATCACAAACCAAACTGTAATTCAAAAAGCAAAAGTATGTCGCGGCCGGGGGTCGAACTCGGGTCGTCTGGTCGACAGTTTGTAGTTTGTATCCCAGTTTAACCATTCCCATCACCAACCAAACTGAAATTCCAAAAGCAAAAAGTATGTCGCGGCCGGGGGTCGAACTCGGGTCGTCTGGTCGACAGTTTGTAGTTTGTATTCCAGTTTAACCATTCCCATCACCAACCAAACTGAAATTCCAAAAAGCAAAAAAGTATGTCGCGGCCGGGGGTCGAACTCGGGTCGTCTGGTCGACAGTTTGTAGTTTGTATCCCAGTTTAACCATTCCCCATCACCAACCAAACTGAAACTCCAAAAAGCAAAAAGTATGTCGCGGCCGGGGGTCGAACTCGGGTCGTCTGGTCGACAGTTTGTAGTTTGTATCCCAGTTTAACCATTCCCATCACAAACCAAAGTGTAATTCCAAAAGCAAAAAGTATGTCGCGGCCGGGGGTCGAACTCTGGTCGTCTGGTCGACAGTTTGTAGTTTGTATCCCAAGTTTAACCATTCCCCATCACAAACCAAAGTGTAATTCCAAAAGCAAAAAGTATGTCGCGGCCGGGGGTCGAACTCGGGTCGTCTGGTCGACAGTTTGTAGTTTGTATCCCAGTTTAACCATTCCCATCACAAAACCAAAGTGTAATCCAAAAAGCAAAAAGTATGTCGCGGCCGGGGGTCGAACTCGGGGTCGTCTGGTCGACAGTTTGTAGTTTGTATCCCAGTTTAACCATTCCCATCACAAACCAAACTGAAATTCCAAAAAGCAAAAAAGTATGTCGCGGCCGGGGTCGAACTCGAGCGTCTGGTCGACAGTTTGTAGTTTGTATTCCAGTTTAACCATTCCAATCACCAACCAAACTGAAATCCAAAAAGTAAAAGTGTGTCGCGGCCGGGGGTCGAACTCGGGTCGTCTGGTCGACAGCTTGAAGCTTGTAGGTCCCAGTTTAACCATTCCCATCACAAACCAAAGTGTAATTCCAAAAAGCAAAAGTATGTCGCGGCCGGGGGTCGAACTCGGGTCGTCTGGTCGACAGTTTGTAGTTTGTATCCCAGTTTAACCATTCCCATCACAAACCAAAGTGTAATTCCAAAAAGCAAAAAGTATGTCGCGGCCGGGGGTCGGACTCGGGTCGTCTGGTCGACAGTTTGTAGTTTGTATCCCAGTTTAACCATTCCCATCACAAACCAAAGTGTAATTCCAAAAAGCAAAAAGTATGTCGCGGCCGGGGTCGAACTCGGGTCGTCTGGTCGACAGTTTGTAGTTTGTATCCCAGTTTAACCATTCCCATCACAAACCAAAGTGTAATTCCAAAAAGCAAAAAGTATGTCGCGGCCGGGGTCGAACTCGGGTCGTCTGGTCGACAGTTTGTAGTTTGTATCCCAGTTTAACCATTCCCATCACAAACCAAAGTGTAATTCCAAAAGCAAAAAGTATGTCGCGGCCGGGGGTCGAACTCGGGTCGTCTGGTCGACAGTTTGTAGTTTGTATCCCAGTTTAACCATTCCCATCACAAACCAAAGTGTAATTCCAAAAAGCAAAAGTATGTCGCGGCCGGGGGTCGAACTCGGGTCGTCTGGTCGACAGTTTGTAGTTTGTATCCCAGTTTAACCATTCCCATCACAAACCAAACTGAAATTCCAAAAGCAAAAAAGTATGTCGCGGCCGGGGGTCGAACTCGGGTCGTCTGGTCGACAGTTTGTAGTTTGTATTCCAGTTTAACCATTCCCCATCACCAACCAAACTGAAATTCCAAAAGCAAAAAAGTATGTCGCGGCCGGGGTCGAACTCGGGTCGTCTGGTCGACAGTTTTGTAGTTTGTATCCCAGTTTAACTATTCCCATCACAAACCAAAGTGCTAATTCCAAAAAGCAAAAGTATGTCGCGGCCGGGGGTCGAACTCGGGTCGTCTGGTCGACAGTTTGTAGTTTGTATCCCAGTTTAACCATTCCCATCACAACCAAAGTGTAATTCCAAAAAGCAAAAGTATGTCGCGGCCGGGGTCGAACTCGGGTCGTCTGGTCGACAGTTTGTAGTTTGTAATTCCCCAGTTTAACCATTCCATCACAAACCAAAGTGTAATTCCAAAAGCAAAAAGTATGTCGCGGCCGGGGGTCGAACTCTGGTCGTCTGGTCACAGTTTGTAGTTTGTATCCCAGTTTAACCATTCCCACCAGAAACCAAAGTGTAATTCCAAAAAGCAAAAAGTATGTCGCGGCCGGGGTCGAACTCGGGTCGTCTGGTCGACAGTTTGTAGTTTGTATCCCAGCTTTAACCATTCCCATCACACAACCAAAGTGTAATTCCAAAAAGCAAAAAGTATGTCGCGGCCGGGGTCGAACTCGGGTCGTCTGGTCGAACAGTTTGCAGTTTGTATCCCAGTTTAACCATTCCCTATCACCAACCAAACTGGAAATTCCAAAAGCAAAAAGAGAGTGTGTGAGAGTGATTTTTGGGAACGACCGACTCGCTGGAATGTGATAGTATTTATTGCGTAAAAGCGGGGGGACTGTGTGGGGGCCATGGGCCGGATGGTGCGGTGAAGCAGATTAAACGGTATTGAAGGGGGGATATCGTCGACGAATTCCATCGAAGTCGCAGCCGGTCTGCTGGTTCGTTGGTATGGAGAGTGGTGCCGTACACATTAGGTGCCGGCCATGGTTCCTCAAATGGTGGATCGTAGAACAAACCCAGGCCAAACTCTAGTTTACCCCCCGCCCTGCCCTGGCTTTTCACTGTCCCCCCACACGAAAGCTAGGCTCCGTACGGGCTTGATGATGACTAAAAAAAGCACTCCTGGTCCAGCGGTTGCGCCGCCGGCTCAATGAGGGGACCAGTGTTGTTCAAAAGGTTCCGGGACCGGGTCCGTCCGCGTCCCCCGACGTTCGGGTGGCACGCCAATTGTATTGAACCAGCGCTGACCCCCCGCTCCGCGGGGGTTCAGCGCTACCCTACGCTACGCCCTACGCCTACGCTACGCCCGCTAACCCCTTTTGGTTTGAGATACCCCCCATAAGACTCTTTTGGGGTCCTTTTCCGGATTTAAAAAGAACGAGGCATCGAATCGGAAAACTTAATACACGATCGGAACCGGCGACACTTTTTGCATACTATAAGCTTTTAAAATTTCAAAAAAAGTTAGATTTCGAATTTTGGCTCTATACCGGTAACGGGGTCCTTAAAAAAAATAAGGGTCCTTAATAAAAATAAGGGTCCTTAACAAAAAATAAGGGTCCTTAGAATTTCAGGTTAAGGACCCTGTCCCGACAGGGGTCCTTAAAGTAGATGCTATTTTTAAGGACCCCGATTCCGGCAACTCCCGAAAATACAGTATTTTCGCCGTTTTTGCGGAGACGCGGATTCGCGAAAGATTGTCCTTTGTTTCGCATTTTGAATTACACCCCCGTTTGTGCCTAAAAATAAGGCTTCGTGCCACCCGGGGCCTAGTCGCTTCGGATGGGTGCGAGCTCGTACAGGGTTTCGAAATCGGGGCGCCCGAGGAGCGCGTAGCGGCCAGGCGCCTCGATTTTGGAAGAGTGGAGCGGCAGCCCATCCGAAGCGACGGCCCACCTTGCCTGACATGCCATAAGCGTCAAATTGTCCCTGGCTAAAAAACTAGCACGTCGGGTTGCGTGGAAATTTCTGTGGGGATGAGCACGATTTCAGGCTTATGGCGTGTCAGGCAAGGTGGGCCGTCGCTTCGGATGGGCTGCCGCTCCACTCTTCCGAAATGGGGGCGCCCCCGGCCGCTTCGCCGGCCTTGGCGCCCCGGTTTCGAAACCCTGTACGAGCTCGCACCCATCCGAAGCGACTAGGCCCCGGGTGCCACAAAGCCTTATTTTTTGGCACAAACTGTGTGTAAGAGGGGTCGCGTAATTTAAGTAGCTAAACGAGGCACAATCTGTGCACAATCGGCGAAAATACTGTATTTTCGGGAGTTGCCGGAATCGGGGTCCTTAAAAATAGCATCTACTTTAAGGACCCCTGTCGGGACAGGGGTCCTTAACCTGAAATTCTAAGGACCCTTATTTTTGTTAAGGACCCTTATTTTTATTAAGGACCCTTATTTTTTTAAAGGGCTGCCGACGGCATGTGTCGATCCCCCCCATCAACAAATTGGCAAATAGCCAACAGGGCAGAGGCGCGCCCTGGGGAGAGGCGCAGAGACATTTTCTTTCCAGCGCGTAACCGATTGACTATGCCGTCGGCATCCCTTTAAGGACCCTTATTTTTTTTAAGGACCCCGTTACCGGTATAGAGCCCGAATTTTAACAGCCGATTTAAGTTGCGTTTTCGAGGGGGGTCTGCGTTTGTATGTCTGTATGTTTGTACGCAAAACCTATGTAGTCGTCAAAAAGTGCCTTCCCATCATCCGTTCTGGCTGAAATTTTCCACATATATCGACTTTATGTAAATGAAGGTGAGGAAGAAGCGTTTTTTTTCAAAGTAGGTTTTTAAAAATTTATATTTAATTTTTAAGTTCAAAAGCTAGATTGCGGCCAAAACAAGGGTTAGTGATGTCGGTTTGGGCTGAAATTTTGCTAAAATATGCATTGGACCTTGCCGGACGAAGTAAAGAAGAAATTGCTTCGAAAGAATGCTTCTCCTTTGAGATATTTTAACTTTAAACCATCGCGATACGGGGCGCCACCCTCCCCTTTCATCGCCCCCAGTCCCCAGTCAGGGGGCGGGTCAAGCGCGCCCAAGACAGGCCACGAGTCTCCGGTTGGCCTAGTGGTTAGCACGGCTGTACTGGGATGACTCGGCTCCCGAGTTCGAACCCCACCCGAAACATCGTTTTTGCCGATTGGCCCCCTGCATCCGTATGGTTTCCTATTGCACCCACAAAACGCCGCAGGCGAATTTTTTGAAGTTTGCGTACAAGGGTTCATCTGAATCATAATCCGATGACTTATTTGATGATCTTAACAACAAGATTGAGACAAAAAGGGCTAAATTCTCTCTAAGGCTAAAAAGAGTCTTTTCAAAAAAGGGCTTTTGGTTTTCGCAAAAAGAGACGAATTCTCGTGGCAACAAAAAGTGCTAAATTCCTTTCAAACTCTGAAAAATTCCACAAAATGTGGGATCAACCAAAAGTTGCTGGCATTTTATTAAAAGGGACAGACGCGTTTTTAGCCGTTTCGGGCTTATAAATAAATTTCCCTGTATTATGATCCATTTTCTTAGAAATTAATCTGTGGACCCTGTAATTTTAATTAATGTAATAACTGTAATTAACCTGTAATCTAAAGCAGTCCCGAGTTTATTAAGTTTTTAATTAGCCAGCAGCTTTTTGTTGTTCCCCATTCTGTGGCATTTTTTCAGAGGTTGAAAGGAATTCTAGCCCTTTTTGTTGCCACGAGAACTGTCTCTTTTGCGAGAAACCAAAGCCCCTTTTTGAAAAGACTCGTTTTAGCCTTAGAGAGATAGTAGATTGAATTTCCGTGATTTGAATAGTGGACGCATGCAGTCCGACAGACCCACCAGCGTCCGAGGGTCCGCGTCCGGGCGGGTCCTGTCCGGAGCAGGACGCGTCCGTCCGCGTCCGCAATCTGCATGCCGGACCGGACTGGTCCGGACGCCTCCGGACCCGGACGGACCGGGACCCAAAAAGAACAGCCCTGGAGAGGACTAAAGTCAGCAGCCAAAGATTCTAGCCTAACCTAAGCTCTCGCGCCGCAGGCTTCAAAAACGGCAAGAGAATTCATGATTCCTAAACCGAGTCCAGTGGAGAAGGGCGCGAAGCGGCCTTTTCAACTGGTCAGAAATTCACGTTAGTCGAGGGATACCTGTTCGATTAGCCGTTGAGCGTGTTCCTCGGCGTCATTGAGCGCGAGCATTATCCGAATGCCCGTCGCCCACACGGTCGTCCACTCTTCCCGGCAGGCGGCTGCGAGCACTGCCCAGCTATCCCACCACGTACATCTGTAGACAGTTAGGGTTACTTTCGAAATGTCGAATTTTTGTATAAGTAAACAACCCCGAAATTTTTATTTAGGTAAATCAACCGGAGTAAAAACAAACCTCGAACGCTTTATAAAATGGCGGAGGAACGGTGTCAAAACCCGAAGAAACCGCACCGCAGGCAAAATTTTGGCAAAATTAGCTAAGAAAACCCGGGGATTGAAGCAAATGCACTTTTTGGAAGCGAAATTTCGATGCAACGACCTGAAAAATGGTGACGAGGCGCTATTCTTGCCTGAAGAGGGTATGGTTGGTGGTGAGATATTGAAGGTATCGATTAGTCGATTCAACATCACATCCATTTCGCGCTGATATTCGGCACGATCCTCCTGAATGTGTATCTTGCAAAAGGGGCAGGCTAGCAGAGATCCTTTGAGAAACGGAGGACCGGAAGGAGGCAAGGGTAACAGAAATTCCTTCACGGTTGAACGCTGGATACCTGTGACACGTCGTCCGCGTGGCGCAGAGTGCGAAATGCGATAACTTGTCGCGGCGCGCTGGATTGCGTATTCTAAAATAGAAAGCATGAGAATATGCTGCCCCCCCGCCTTTGACCGTCTTGCTCCGATGGGGACCAATTTTGCCACCTGAAGGGACCCCGTAAAACCTGTGTTACCAAATTTTCGCAGCGAAATATTGTAAAACTAAAAAGTTATCGTTCAAAAACCGATTTTTTGGAAACGCTTTAACGATAACTTTTTAGATTTGCAATATTTTGCGTTCCTTGCAAAATTGGCGGCTTTGGTTTTTATGGGGTCCCCATCAGTGTTAAAAGTTGGTCCCGGGTGATGTGGAAGACGGTCATGTCGAAGGGGGACACCCTGTATGTGGCAATACCTTGACAATCTCGAATGAGTTGCTCGATCACTCGTCAGCGATCCGAGGCAGTCCGATTTTCGTGATACATTTGATTGAGGCGCAGACGCGGCACCGTCCTCAACGCAACGATCGATGTGGCGGGGATATTTAATGGTGCGAGCCTGTGGTAGGATACCTTTGGAAGGGCGTGCATATAGATGTCCAAGTAATCGGCTGGAGAATATGAGGCGCCGGCCGGCCCAAAGGCAAAGCTGAAAAAGCAAGGATGGGTTTATAGCGTTGAAGTGGAGGTTGGCGTTAAAACCTTGGGCCCTTGAGACATTCGTGATCAAAACTGGTGGCCAGTGTCTGTTGGGGCGGGCAGGGGGAAATACTGACACGGCAGAGTGTCTGTCCCCTCAATGTCACCGACACACGACCGACAAATGAAATACGAGTCAACACGATGCCTGTCGGCATCGTGTTCACCAGAACTTCATTTGATTTTTCAACCAATTTTGGGACGGACCTGAGCCCGTGGCCTCAGATACATTCCTTGTGAGGCTAGGAGTCTCTCCGAACCTGGTATGGGCGCTATCCCTGGAGCTTAACCCAGTAGCTGCGTCAGAAGTAGCTGAAGCCAAGCAACACCATCTCTCTCTCTCTCTCTCTCTCTCTCTCTCTCTCTCTCTCTCTCTCTCTCTCGCTCTCTCTCTCTTGCTCCTGATCTCTCTCTTGATCATCTCTCTCTCCTCTTGCTCCTCTCTCTCTCCCTCTCTCTCTCTCTCTCTCGCTCTCTGTCCCGGCTCACTATATTCCGCGTCGGATCCACCGTCCGAGTGGTCCCAAGAGCGCCAGTATAGCAACGTGAAATCGACGGAAGATGTGCATGGCATCGACGCGGCGGCTCGTGGGTGCAGGTTCTAGGAATCATTCCAAATTAAAGGAGCCATGAAATCTGGTCAATACTCCGCCCTCATTCTCGGCAAATAGCCAGGCAGGGCCGCTTTGAGCCGCGTCCTATGTCTTTTAGCCCCTGTTTAGAGGCGAAAACGAATGGATTAGCAAATTCTTTGAACCGAAACGATGTACTCGTCCCAGCATTGCACCCACTATGGACGTAGGGACCGCGCGCCCCGCTTGCCCTTGGCGTGGAAGGCGATTCCTCTCCTTTCCGGGGTTCTCCCCACCCCTCGCCAGGTTGCACCTCTGGCCGACCGGTATGCGTCCGCGCCTCACGAACGGCAGACCCGGGTTCGACCCCCGGCCGCGGCAAAAT